GTGCGCAGCCCAATAAGGCGTGCTGGATTTTGATCTAGTCCCCGTGTCGGCCCAGCCCAACTGTCGCGTGGCCCGTTATGGAGACAGTCGATGCAGGCTACACCGTTACCTAATTCTATCCGTCGATGATCGGCGTTGATTGGGGCACAAGATGATGTGCTGGAGAGAGGGATACCACGCGGTAGGACCGCATAGTCCAGCCAACGGGTGTTTTACGGCAGATGGAGGATCACCTGTCAAGGGAATGTCCTTGGCTTGACGGTGAGAGAGCGACGCCGAATGTGCACGAAGCACATCCATATGCTAACATACGCAGTTTCTGCCGGAGGTGCGAGTCTCAAGCTATCCGCGAGGTCAAATTCGCAACTTGCTTCGAAGGCATGGTCTGTGATCCAATCGTCCTTACTATCGCTTTGTGCTCGTAAAGTCGCCTGACTGGAGAGGTAATTGTGACCTAAAATCTGATAAACGACCTCCACCTACTTGCTAACCTGCGTCTGGTTGACTTTGCTCCTAACAGTGGCTTCTGATGGACGGACGGCACCAAGGGCAAGCTCAGTAATGATACATTATGTCGCCTCTTTAAACAGCGCTTGGTTAAATTTTCTTTCTGCTCACCCAACTTCATTTTCAGAAGTGTACTCGACACTTAGGTCTGCCAGATCCGTATATTGTAGGCTGCTAAACGTGTCTGATATATGCCCAGTTTTTTCTCGCATTTCGGCCGCGTTTTTAATCCCCTCCTGCGTGCCTCAAACCGTTCAGCGTCTTCTGGACTTATCTCCCGCCCTGAAAAATCAGACTATCGAGTCCCCGATGGTTGACCAGTGTCTCAGCGATCTCGGCGTCTTGATTAGCCGCCTGGAGAAACAGGGTACCTCCGGATTTTCGGCGGATCAGGTGTCTAGGGGCTGCCAACTATCTGATCGCTTGAGTGTTCTCTTCCATCCCACAAAGTGACCAGCAAGCATTTTCCTCCTCGCCCGCGTTTTTACCCACTCATCTAGAGCATGTTACTCCAATTCCTTTTGCCTTTTATATGAAATTTAAATAGAGTTTGATACTTTTTGAAGCTGTGACTTTTGTCTCGTTGTTCTCTCTCCACCCCCCCCGTTTTGACCTAACTCTGCTCCAGTTTGAAAGCCTTTTTGCTCTGAGGGACAACAATACCAGCAGCTTATTTGGAGGATGATGGTGGCGTGCGGGATACGATGTGGTTTGACAAGTTACTGGGTGAGAGGGGAGGGTTTATTGAAAGAATGTGGATTAGGCTGGTCTCAAAAGTTTGACTAACCCGTGTACGTAGACCTCCGTACTGATGAGGGTCCAGGTCAACACGACGGCCGATACTGCCGTCGTTGGGTTATCAAACCATAGGAAATTCCCGCGCCTGCTTTGTTTCGGCCCGGGCGATTACCTCAGTGGCTTCCCACTTGGGACGGTGGCTGTTCTTAAGTTCGTATGCGGCGGTAAAAAACAAAGGATACTGTCGACGGATGGCCGGCGCCTGTTCGCTGGCGTGGAGCTTTAGCCGTTGACCGTCATGGCCAGCGTATATCGGGGAGCAATTAACGCATGGGATCTCCCGTCCGAGATAACGCCACACGCGGGGGGAGGCAGGCTTGTGGGCGTTTCAGATGCCAAGCCGAGATAATTGCCGGGCGTTCTCTCCAGATGGTCCCTGCATACGAAGCAGTGACAGTGCTGGGGTCCTCTGGCCGTTCTTGCATCTAAAGTACTTTTTGTGAAACTATCCGAGCATCTGGCAGGCCAAAATAATCAGCATAAGTAAGCCTGGCTTACCTTTGGTACCAGCGAAAGATTGTCTCCTGCAGCCTCTGCGGGCAGGTGTTTAACATGTTCCTTATGACAATAAAAGCCTCATGCGCGGTGAGGCCACATTCTTGGCCTAGGGACATGAATAAAATTTTACTGTAGTTTTTGTAGGACTAGTCACGTGAGCAGACTGACGAGTCATCAAGTAGTACTTTTTGTTAAGCTTACGACAGTGCCAAAGGTAGATGTTGGAATTCCAAAAAACTTGGAATGTTAGAATGCCAATAAGATTATTTAGTAAGTATCCGGGTAAGCAGCATGTATACATATATATGCTTAATATTCGCAATCGCAGCTGACACGACGACGGGCTTGCAGCTCAGTGTTAGAGCGTTCGACTGAATGACCGAAAACCCTGGGTTCGAACCTCTGGGGCTCAGGGGCCTGCGGTTAGCTATGGCCGGTCCATAACGACTAATAAGCCAGAAATGGCCGTTTCAGTCCTCCTTTGCTGGTACATGTTTTCGTATTCATATATGTATATTGCGGTCATGCTCCTTGGGAAAGTGTATAAAAGGAAGAACCGACGGGACAATGAGCCCATGGCTCAGTGGGTAAGGACTTTGGACTTCTAACCAACAGGTCACGGGATCGGGCCTCAGGTGTTCCACACCTCGGAGTTGGTTATGACTATCTGACGACGGCTAATAAGTCAGAGGTGGCCATTCCAACCTCCCTTTGCTTTTGTCGGTAATGCTTCTCTGCCTAAATTACGCCCGGCCCTACGGCTGCAGGTTGGGATTGAGAGAGAGAGAGAGAGAGCCCGTAAGACACAACGGGACGAGTGAGTTCCGTAACACGATCACTGTGCACCCTTTTAACGTTATATGCGTATATAATCATGTGTGATTTTTGAAATTATAATCTTAATTATTCTGTGGAGTCTCACATACCGGAAACCTCATAGTGAACTCTGAGGGACCCACTGTGGACCCGAACCCATTGTATCTGTGTCATTTTGCAACAGAAACACCTGCGAAACACGTGTTTGGTCATTTAACTTGTATCTATGCCAGGAGTACGGTATAACTATCCATTATATGCATATATGTTCCGTATGAACGATCGGTGAGCGCCCCCTAACATTGTATATTCCCGATCGAAAACCGACAGGACAACGGGCTCGTGGCCCGGTGAGTAGAGGCGTTGACTTCTAAACCAACAGGTCGCGAGTTCGACGCTCGGGTGTTCCACACATCGGGCTTGGGTATGGCTGGCTGACGACGGCTAATAAGCCAGAAATGGCCATTCCAGTCTCCCTTGTCTTTGTCGGTAATGCCATTCTGCCTATGTATCATGCGCCGCTGTGCGGCTGCTGGTTGGGCTTGAGAGAGAGCCCTTAAGGCACAACGGAACGAGTGAGTTCCGTATGAACGATCGGTGAGCGCCCCCTAACATTATATATGTATATATATTCATAGCTCTAATACTTGCCAGGAATTCAGTACGTATTGCAACTTGTCTCGTGTTTGGGTGTTCAGTGTCGTCGAGCCGTGAACGGCCCTCTAGGCTATTCTCTCTTGAAAAGAAATCTCCGCCTATGTCTTCGGCAGGCAGCCCGCGCTTTTAACAACTGCCGCCTGCACTGCCACTACTGTAAAACGTGTTCGATTTCCGTCCGATTTCACCCTTTTCTGCCACTCGCGTTCACTATGACTCCCTCTTCCAGTCGCCAGTTTACGACACGTCCAGCCTGTTCGTTGTTTTTGCACCCTCTCCACCAAGACTGCGCATTGCCTAGTCAACAGGACACACCAGGTCACTAACGGGCGTCCCGTCTCGTATGAGGGGAAGTGTTGCGGGGACGGCGCGTCTACCGTCTTAACAGCAGACTCTCTGCCTGCCCCAGTCACGTCTCCGCTCTGTGCGCCATCATTTACACGCGTGACCTTCCGCCTGTTTTTCACGAATGCTGACGAGGCCGACTGACCCCCCCTTCTACCTCGCCTAGGCTTACTAAGGAGAGTTTTTTGGTAGGCTCGGCTATCTAAAGTCTGCAGTGTGCATGAGAGTTTATTGAAGAAGGAGACACGATCGCTGGGACAAGAGCTTTATTAGCCTTATAAAGCCTAATAGACTAATAAAGCTCTTGTCCCAGCGATCGTGTTTCCTCCATCAAGACTGTTTCCTGGGACTCGTCTCTTCGCTTCTATTGGAGATGAGAGCTTATGGTTGAGACTATGTATGTACATATCTATATATTATGACAGATGGATGCTCACCGATCAGGTTACAGAACATGCTCGTTCTGAAGATGAAGATGCGATCGCTGGAACAAGCAATTTATTGGCCTGATGTTTCGGATGCTCACTCGAATCCATCATCAGAGACATTCGCAGATAAAGGTGATGGTGACACCAGGAGTGCAGTATTTATAGCACGTGGCTGCCTTTGACGACATGTTGTGCACCAGTTTGTCGTTCTTGGGTGACATTGGAGCAGGCAGCTTACGAAATTTGCTCTCTAGGGCTGCTTCGAGCGTCAAAGGAGCTGACGGAGGAACAAATGCAGGTTTTACGGCATGAGGCCTCATTCAACACATCCGATGCCAAACCTGCCAACATGGTCGCAGCAGTGGAATCAAGCCTGAGCCAGACGGGAGCGACAGACGAAACGAAGAACCTCATTCGACACCAAGTGTCCTCCCTCCTCATGGCTCATAGGCCGCGCGGCGTGCTTTCCAAGGTCGAGCGCGATGCACTTAAGGAACTCAGGACCGACAACGACCTCGTTATCGTGCCAGCGCACGATATAGGCAGAATGGCTGTGGTTAGAGACGTGGACTTCTAACTAACAGGTCGCGAGTTCGAGCCTCGGGCGTTCCACACTTCGGGGTTGGGTATAACTGGCTGATGACGGCTAAGAAGCCAGAAATGGCCATTCCAGTCTCCCTTGTCTTTGTCGGTAATAATATACTGCCTGGAAAACTACTGTCTACTGGCCAAACAGGTGATTGAATGGCACGGAGCGGTCCACTTTGTCTTTGTCGGTGATGGGCGCACACCGATCTGTTGGCTTCACGAAGCAAACAAACTCCGTATGTGTGGCAAAGGTCACGAACAGACAACCAATATCACGCCGAAGTCGGCCAAGTCATGATAGCAGGGAGGAGGGACGATAGAGAATGCGGATAGATTGATACAGTACTGTTTCGGGCTTATTGTGCCTTCATTCAGTCAATCATAACCCTGACCAACAGCTGAGACCAGAAACACAAACATGCGCACAGACGCACCTGACGCAGTTGGTCCAGCACTGGGGTCTATCAGATGGGTCATAAGCACTTCATCGAACCGAAGTTCATCAGCGCCTCGCCACCTGTCATTCTCTGTCGCTGCATATCGGGTATTTATCAATCAGGAAAGGGCGCACACCGATCTATTTGCTTCACGAAGCAAGCAAGCTCCGTATGAGTGGCAAAGTTCACGAACAGACAACCAATTATCACGCCGAAGTCGGCCAAGTCATGATAGCAGGGAGGAGGGACGATAGAGAATGTGAATAGATTGATACAGTACTGTTTCGGGCTTATTGTGCCTTCATTCAGTCAATCATAACCCTGACCAACAGCTGAGACCAGAAA